AATTCTATATTAACAACCTCGTGTCTGCTTATTGATGAAAAACATTGAATTATCAATTAATGCCGAGGTTAACAGAAAGTGTCGGTCACGGGAATTCTCTTAAAGGAGTGCCTAAATTGCTCAATCTTCAGATGGTCCGAGAGGTATTACGCCCAAATGAGAAGACTGGCAATGGGACAACGACTGGCACTAAGCCTTGCCATTGCATTTATGTCTTAGGTGTAAGCGCCAGTAATCGACCTCGGCCCGTTACTCTACTGTAGGTATATAGATGACTGCTTGGTCATTTGTTCAACACAAGAAGAAATTGACAGATGTTTCGAGTTGTTGAACGAACAGTCAGAGTATAACTCGAAAGACCGACTTTCTATAAAGCTCGGCATAAATAGTTGATATATCTACTTATGTGATCTTATAAACTGATCTTCTTAAGCTGACGCGAGGTTGGTACAGATCTTCGCTGTCGTTGTCGTTGTTTTTGATGTTGTTGATCGATCGCTGACGTTTCGGCGATTTCGCCTTCCTCAGAGCGTCCCGCACCTAACATCACTGCTCTGAGGAAGGCGAAGTTGCCGAAACGTCAGCGATCGATCAACAACATCAAAAACAACGACAACGACAGCGAAGATCTGTACCAACCTCGCGTCAGCTTAAGAAGATCAGTTTATAAGATCACATAAAGTCGGTGTATATTAAATTCACTCGAGAGAAACCAAAAGAAAACTGGCTTCCATTTTTGAACGTGTAAATTAAGCTATCAGAAAACTGCTACATTACGAAATGGTATCGATAGCCAAGTAGTAAATACATCTTGGTTCATAACCTCTCCTCTCACCCCTCTCGCACGAAAAGGGCACTTGTGAGAAACATGTTTCGAGCAGCTACCGCGTGTGCACAGGAAGACAACAGAGAGAGGAGTTCCGGAACTTGGCGCGGCGTATAGCCATTTTTAATGGCTACGAAACTGTAGCTCGAGATAGGTGTAGAGGAGACCACAGGTACCCCAACGATCACTCTAACGATAATAAGGTCTCGTTTAAACTGCCCTTCATTTCGAATGAAGTAAGTGCAGCTATAAAACGCTGTTTAAGAAGGGCCAATCTAGAGAATCCGGTAATGATAATTGAAATACCACCGATTAATCTAAGACGCCAGCTAGTTCGCAACCGCCTATACGACCGTCTATGTGCAACGCAAAATTGCATAATTTGCCCCAATGCTAGAGAGGGTGACTGCATGAGTTCGGGTACAGTCTATCTGACCTCTTGTAAAACGTGCGGGAACGAATACGTTGGCGAAACGGGTAAACCACTCTGCGTGTGTATAAAATAACACCTAGTCGGCAAACGTAAGCCAAATACTCCATTAGGCACGCATAGGGCGCAGAGACATAACGGAGATGATTTTGAAGTAAGGGTTACGATCCTCGTGCAAGAATCGAGAACACGAGCGCGTAACACTTTAGAGGCATTCTGGATTAATTCCAAGAATCCGAAAATGAACCACAGGGAGGAATGCCTCATTATCATGCGTGATATTGGACAGTATATAAACCCGTTATTCTGATGAGATGGGCACAATACGATTCCGTGTGAACTCTGTGCGGCTGGTCTCCACGCGACATACTCGGTGGAACTCACAGAAAGCGGTGAGTATGCAAAGGCTCTGTGTTCAATGTGATTGAAATTTTGGTTCAGCATTTTCTCTGTTAGGTTATGGAGGTGTTTGGCCGTGTAGACTGTAGTCAACTTGACCTTCCCAGGCTCTGAGGAAGACGAAATCCGCCGAAACGTCAGCTTGTACGTAAATAAAGAAATAAAGTAACACTTCGTGTTTGCTGAACAGAAGTAGAAAGGGTTATTGGTTTAATCGTTCCTCTAAAGCAAGCCAAGTCTTCTACCCGTTTGAAGTCAAAAAACTGAGACCAGACACGTCTGAGAGAATAAATCACTTGATATGTCGGTAGAACGCCGCAAATCCTAGCATTGGCAAAATATGATCCAGTTAGCTCGACGATAGAGTGGAGACGAATACACGGTACACTCCTCATGGAATGATAAACACCGAACATTTCTTCCACCACCGTCAGGAAGTACATTACTCTCTATTACCAAGTGAATTGCTGATGTTTGTCTAGTGCTACCTTCACGATTTATAAGACAGCTTCCAAAGTTCCTACGAAAGCCTTAGGATGAGCAAGCATACTATGGGAGTGCCATAAGAGTCTGAACAATCACAAGTGGAAAAAGGCAGAGCTTTCGCACTTAATCAACCCCTGAGGGATGCACCGTTTCTCGGATTTAATCAAGCATCGTAAAGGTGATTCAGTTCACATCTGGCCTATACTATACAACTTGCCAGGCCTTACCGATATATAAAATCATTGTTTAAATCCTTCCAAAAAAGTTTAGTACCTCCAATGGATAGAAGGCTTGGTGAACCAGAGACGTGGGAACGAACTATGGACCAATCCGTTGTGTATTGCAAGGCATCTATAATCACTGCGCAACATGCCCCTGAACAGTTATAATAACCATAAGAATCATCGCTTGTAAATGAAACACAGCTCAAGTTAGCCAAAAACTCTTTAATCGTCAGTTCGGAAATTGGTAAAAATTTGTATGGTTATCCGAGGTTCAGGTTGGTTATCTACCTATCTGCATGGTTATCTATCGAGATTAGGTAAAATAGCACAGTTAAATTTTTAATAGACAATACGAACTTCACCAATAATTAAAGTCATGGCGATTTCAATTCATATAAATCTGTAGATCTATCATCAAGACATTTACTATTAAAAGCTATTTTTTAGATACAACACGAATTGTACACAGTGACATCCAGGAAAATTTTCGTATTCATTACAGCACTACCCAGCGGCTTAAATGCCACTGGGCTTTGTTGGTTATCTACACTCAAGAGACCTAATGCACTTTCTTGTCAGCAAGCTCGCTGTACACACTTGACAGCGTGAATATACGTGTGGAACATTCCAACAGCACCGAAATAGAGGGAATTCGACTAATGTATGCTCAATGTCATTCAATGAGGAGTTTGGCTAGTTCGACGGCTCCCTGACGAAACAGACATCGAGCGGACGCCGTCGGCACTTTGCGGCAACAGATCGCTTCGTCTTAGGTTTACTCGGCCGAAGCCCCCACCGTACACGTCCGAATGCGACCTCATGAATGTCGCAATCGAACGAATCGTGAAGTTGTTCAGGAACTGATCTGCTTGAGTTTCCTGCAAATGTTTCAGAAGAATAAGATCGAACTGGTGGAACATAAAATAGTCTTTAAAACGTGGCTGGTTTCGGACTTAGTTTTTGCCTTGTTTATAGTTTTGAACTCTCAGTTTGCTAAAAAGAACATAAACAGCTTTGAATTCCATTCAGAATGATGAGGATAAAGCTTATTCTTTGTCATCACTGTTTTTTCTTTTGGAGAATATTCTACGTTTTATCACTTCATTTATCGAGGCAAAGGGTTAGATGTATTACAAACAAGTGGCATCGTTCTAAGAGTAGACAGCGATAAGCCGTTGTAATGATTCATCCAGTAACGTACACTAATGAATGAACTTGACACACTTGATACTCTAATGGCCCGCCCTCACTGGTTGTGCAGGCCCCACCACATTCTCCATTTCTTGGAGATTTGCTGGTTAAGCCATTGTGGTTACTTGGAATACCGAGGTCAGCCGGCCCAAATGCCGCCCCAGGTCTTCACCACCACTGCGAGTTGCAGCCCTTGTGGATTAGAGGGAGAATTGCCACCAAGCGACTTTGATACCACGACGGCCGTAGATCCTGGTATTGGTTTACTCTTAGTCAGGCTTCCTGATCGAAGCGCCGGACTCCTTCCCAGCTTTGTAGACCCTTCCAGAGGATGAATCCCCACTGTACATGAAAGTCCGACACCGGAGAACACCTCTTAATCACGATGAGGCGGTGAACCGTTAGGAGGAATGAATGTGCTAGGTTATAAAACCTTGAAAACATAGTTGACCAAGCAATGGAGTTAAAATTGGGACACTGAAGAACTCTCGAAACAAATATCACCCGAAGCAATCTAAACGGCAAGTAGGATCGGAAAATAATTCCTCTTTTCAAAGGAATTCAAGTGATGTTAGAAAGTGCCGCAGATTTTACAAAAGTGTAAACAATACCTCGTCAGAGGAATCTCCAGTTTTTTCCACAGTGTCACTTCGCTGGATCGATGGGTGAGGAGGAGCTGGCTGCGCCTGAATATATGTATAGTTGTGAGTGTTCCGAGCGTTCTGACATCAATCGTCTTTATTCTGCTCAACCCACTTCTGAATCGTTTGGTTGCATACCAGTCCAACAGCTGTCTAACCGGTTTTCCAATACTGTCATCGTGCCTAAAAATAATATATCCAAGCGCAATAGGAACGAGTTCTTAATAAACAGCCTGATAAGGAAATCAAGCGCGAAAAACCCGAATGAACATTTTCTCTCTATGGACGCACCAAATACTCCATTTTCTACACAAATATATGTGCTTCTGTTGACGACCCTCAATATTGGCATTCCAAAGAAAAACACCACGGTAATGATGGGTGCAAACTGAAAGAAAACGATTCTGTGAGCGATCTTAGTACGACGAACACAGCTAAGGTGGGCAAAGTCATATATAAAAGACAAAACATAATTGGAGCATAATGTTCCTCTCGTTAAGGACGTCGATAAATTTTGTGATACGCCATAACCCTGAGTTTTCAATGAAATAAACTGCGTGTAAACAAAAACGTAAAAAAATCGGGTACTTTACCGTCACGTTATTTGGCATGACGTCACCAAGACCAATGGTAGTCATCGAGATGAAAGAAAAATAGAATGAATGGAAAAAGTCTATCCCGGAACCAGATGGTCCTGAGAGCGCATCGTACTCGTAAATAAACAGACTGGCAAACATCAAGTAGCCTGAACTCTAATGAAAATGATAAGGTATACAAATAAAACCATTATACAGATTGATACAAATCTTTAACATTGATATATTGCTCAGTGCATAGTGCAGATGTTTCCCACTTCAGAACTCCTTCAACGTTGGTGTAATCACGCAAATAATAAATATTAAAAAGATTGGAGGAAAAAATGTTGACCCTACCAAATTTACAACATAGAACAATTACATGTCGTTATAACTGGTATCCCTCTCAACGGTTTACCGCCTCATCGCGGCTGGAAGGTGTTCCAGTGCGTCGGACTGTGATGTACGGTGCGGGATCCATCCAACTGACAGGATCTCCCATGTTGAAAAGGAGTTCGGCATCCTTATCAGAAAGCCTAGCTAAGAGTAAGCCAATACCAGAATCCACCACCACCCTGGTATCAGACTAGTCGCATAACGGCAAATTTCCCTCTGACCCACAAAGGCGGCGACTACCTGTAGTGGTGACGACCTGGGGTAGACTTTGTCCAGGCTAACCTCGAGACTCCAGAGAACCACAATCTAAACCAGCAAAACTCTGAAAACGGAGATTATGCTCGTGCCCGCACAACCAGTGAGGGCGGGCCGTCCAAGTGTCCAAGTTTAAGCGGTATCCCAAATTTTAGAAAGCTTGTGAAGAAATCCGATTTTTATCGAGCAAAACCGAGAACGTCGGCATGCTTGTAACCGCGTTTTTACGAAATAAAATGAAGGTTTCGTAAGACTTCGGTGTTTATATTGACAATCCTAGCATTTCTTCTACGAAACATTGCATGCAGTCAAATATGTTCCAACAAAATTGGGTTGTTTGGCATGAAACGTACCAAACATCATTCCCATGCAGAATTTGATTGGCAGACTGATCATTTCGTCATCCTTGGTCTCCTCATGTCCTCGCGCTCTTCTGAAACAATAAAAAAGCTTTTCCATATTTGCTTTCACATTAAGATTATTATTCTAGAAAGGTTGAACGGAAGACGTATAACGTCCAAGCATTCATTTACAGTCTATTCCTTTTTCACGACAGGGTACGATGTGGAGTACGACCACAAGAATGCCGTAATATGAACAAAACTCAGAATAATATGTGTGCTTCAAACATAGATTACCCTTATAGGGGCTCACATATTACCCATCACACTAAGAGAAGCCTTTGCTCTGCCTTTCTCTTAGCGCCTTTTTCTTACGGTGCCATCACCCGTCAATGGGAATGATCTGAGGAGCACCAGTTAGCATTGAGCATTTTTAAGCTGAGGTTGCAGTCGAAATCACACTGTATTAATTTTTATTTACTGCCTTTCCGTTTTTCTCTCATGGTAGGGTACGATGCGAGCTATGATCGGTTGAGGGGAAGGCGAACCAAGATTCTCGGTTGGTGTAGCGAGTAGCACGGACGCTCTCTGTAAGCGTTATCGTCAGCTGGAAGCCCAATTGAGGGTACCAGTTTTGCTCATATCTCAGTATCCTTGCGAAAAATGTATATTATGTAGAAACGAAAAGGTTTCAATAGCGTTGTCACTTTTGTTGAATTCTTGCGGAACGACGAGAATGATTAGACGTAACCATTTCTCTAAAGCTTGACGTTAATTTAACTCGTGTTAAGCTTTCTGACACCCATCTGGAAGTCATTTAGTCAAAAAGGAGGGAGCGAAGTCGGATTCCCGTTTCCTTCCCAGCTTCATCATTTCACGTTCTTACGCTTCCCAAGTTTCCTGTACTTCTTCAATGACCTTTAGTGCTAAGTCTATCTCTATTCCACTTTCTAGTACTATACGTTCAAAATAACGAATGCTCTCAATCGTAAAGGTTTATCGGGTGGACGCTTTATTGCCACGCCTTGTCCTATAATCGTGCTCACAATAAGCCATAGAAATAGAAAAGAGTGGTGCTGTTCATTTGCTATTCTCTAAACAAATCATCGACTGAATAAATAGTATAACACCTTAGCATTAGAGAGCGGATTCGATTAGCAGAGACGCGTTTAACAAACTAGTGTTAAGAAAAAACTCTAAATAGTATTCACAAGATCTTAAACTATCTCATGTACCAACCTGAACATGATCAACAGATGGGCATAGATTTTCGTGATGTGAACGAGGGCCCATTGTCCGAGATCACGAAGCACAACCAACGTAAGCGGAACGAACAGAAAGCCATACATGATCACACACGACTTGCCTGCGATAGATTCAGGTGCAATCGAGCCTGAATGGCATGGATATAGAGATAGTAAAAACAACACAACAGATAGCTTCAATGATGCTGAGATATTTGCAAAACAACGGACCGCAGGTGTAGGCGGTGGGGAACGAGCACGCTTGTCCTTACCGGGGAGCAGCGCACAAAAAAAGAAAAAGGCAGTAAATAAAAGGGTTACGATTGTGATTATAACTAAGCCTCAGCTTAACTAGGTTCGTTGCCGATTTGGGCCCCCCAGATCAATCCCGTTGACGGTGATTGCTGATGGCAAAAGATCGATAGAACTAGCTGAGAGACAGGCAAAACGAAGGACCCAGATGGTATGGTGGTGAATTGCGCTGCTCCCCGGTAAGGACAACAGCGCGTGTTCGTTCCCCACCGCATGCACCTGCGGTCCTGAGTTTTGCAAATATCTCAGCATCATTAAAGTTATATTTTATAATATATACCCTGCCGTTAAAAAGAATAGGCAGTAAATAATACGTTAAATTGTGATTACAACAGATAGCTTTCAGCTCTACTCGTAGGCCGGTTAAGGTGGTTGCCTTCACGGCCAAATCGAAATCCCAAGAATCCCAAGAAGAGCTATCTAGAACGAAGAAATTTTAGTTTCGAATATCTCCTAATTTAGTTTATTCGAAATGTAAGATATTTCATTTACTGCTGATTAACTTTTCATGACACGGTATTATGTAAAACACAACCACAATGACGCTGAGACATTTACAAAACTTAGACCCTAGGCCGGATTCGGACTTCGCGATTACGCTTTCCGGGGGAACATATGTTACCCATTGCACTACTGAAACCTTTCTTTTCCTTTCACTCAGCCAGTTTTATCTCTCTTTCAGAGAAAGGAAGCGAGGGCCACAGAGGTGTAGTGGGTAACACGCGACTCCACGGAAAGAGTTATCGCGTAACTCCCACGACCGACTTTCTATTAACCTCGGCATTGATCAAGTAATTCTTCGTATTTTTGTTGAGCAAACGCGAGGTGTTATTATTCTTTATTCACAAATGAGCTGACGTTTCGGCGGATTTCGCCTTCCTCAGAGCCTGGAAAGGTCAAGTTGACAGCAATCTACTTGGCCAGACGCCTCCATAACCAAACAAAGAAACTCTAAACCAAGATTTCAATCACATTGAACACAGCTTTGCACACTCACCGCTTTCTATGAGGTCTCCACTAAGTATGTCACGTAGAGACCAACCGCACAGAAATCACATGGAAGTATAATGTACCCCACTCATCAGAATAGCAGTCTTATATACTGCCCTACATCACGCGTGATAATGAGGCATTCTTCTCTGCGGTTCATTTTCGGATTTCTGGAATTAATCCAGAGTGCCTCGAGAGTTTTTCGCACCTGTGTTCTTGATTCGCGTGCAAGGGTCGTGACACATACTTCAAAGTCCTCCCCGTTATGTCTCTGGGTCCTATGCGTG